CCTTATCATGTCATTTCTTATCATGCAGAAGCTGCGTGAAGAGCGCTTCGGATAAATGGGTAGTAAACATGCAGACATTTGTAATTAATTCTCAAAAATGATTTTTTAGAAAATAAATATGTACTGTTGAATTTATACTAAAATAATTAACTTGTCATAAATAATTTTCAAGGTTTTGAAAAAAATGTTAAGCGGTGGAGGCGTATTAAAAAATAACAAGAATTGTATTATCATTTCAAAGCATCATTTCTCATTATTCTGAAACCACTCAACTCTTATTTACAAAATTTTTCTATTTTTTATACAATAATTTCGACGATATTCGTTTTGAAAGAAAATAAATTTTTTTTACAGAGATGTTTCATTCCTTAAAAGTGCGTGGGAATAAGTGCAAAATAGACATCTTTTTTTTTGTTAAGAAAGGAGAAACTTTACAAGTACCCCGGGGACAGGTTTTCAGATTGCTTTTTATCGATTACACTTCTTTCAGTGTCTAATCCATTATTGAAGGCAGACAAGAAACGGCAATATATTACCCGATTGTCTGCAGTCTTATTTTGATCTAGACATATAAGAAATTTACCAAATTCTAGCTATCCTGATAAACATTTTTTTCAGAATTTTTCATGTAATTTTTCAGAATTTCTATATAATTTTATAATTTTCTCATTTTTTTATACGAATTGGAACATTTCTCAGAAAATCTACATCTTTTCTCAGAATTTTTCATATATATTAATTATAAAATATCGTAAGATTTTTAAAATTTTTTGTAAGTAATAATTTCTGATGAAATGTTCTGATTAAAATCTAAAAAATTTTAAAATATTTTTTTAAAATCATGGGATGAAATTTTAGAATATTTCAGAATTGTATGAAAAATTCTGAGAGAAGATGTATGTTTCCGAATATTTCTAAGTATTTCTGAAAAATGTTCTAATTCATATAAAAATTATGAACAAAATTTTCACCGGGGAAATGTTAAGTTATAATAAAAAAATAGCAACGAAAAATAATTAACGCTTTAAATTAAGTTTTATCCAAATCATATTAATAAAATCATATAATTTTTAAATTTAAATATATTTTAAAGTTTCTTTTCATACTCATAAGAAGTACAACTATGAAAATAACCCTTAAAATTTCTACTCTGTCTTAATAATGTCGGATTAAAAAAGAAGAGATGTTGCTTCAAATTATTTAACTGGAGATAATGTAACAAATGTCGCAAAGTATTAGGTGTTGGAATTAATTCGTAGCGTTTTTTAATGAAAGAATGTTATTTATTTCACATGAGCATTAAAAAATACATTAATGAAAGTACTTCCCATCACTTGTAAAACGCTACGAATTAATTCCAACACCTAATAGATATGCGAAACTTGATCCAAGTTATCTTTGCACCACGGAAAGAGATATCCGTTCTACACACACACAGATAAATTATCGCTCTGGAACGATACAGTAATTCTCGCGCTCTTTTGCTAAAAAATCTTATAATAGACAGTTATATATTTTCAAGAAATATAATCAATGAAATATATAATCGTTCAAATATATATTTTGATTAAATATCAAAAAAGAAAATATTAAAAAGGAGAAGCAGACCAATGCAATTTATCTTTTAAAAAAATCAATAAGTTTTGACCGATATCATTGTGTGAAATGAGACATGAAATTTCTATCTTAATGTTAATTTATAATTTTTAAAAATTTATAATGTATTTTCAAAAATATGACTAAGTCGATCCTGCCAGGATTCGAACCTGGAATCTTCTGATCCGTAGTCAGACGCGTTATCCGTTGCGCCACAGGACCGTATTAAACCCTTTTCTTTAGTACAGGTTCATCAAATTAAAATATGTATCTATACTTTCAATATTACAATATATAAATTTATGATTAATTTAATCAGAATTTGATAAAAATTATCTGATTTTTTATTCAATATGATATATGCATATCGCATTTGCTGTCAAACATCTCTTCTTTTTTAATCCGATTATTAAGACAGAATAGAAATTTTAAGAGTGTTATGAAAATAATACTCTTAAAATTTCTATATATTCTACATATATGAATATGTCATAATAAAAAGAAACTTTAAAATAATTTGAAAATTACACAATTTTATTGATATGATTTGGACAAAACTTAATTTAAAGCGGTCAAAACTTTATGTTACTATTTTTACTATAACTCAAATATTAGAATTTTGTAAACTTTATTATATATAGTCTAGATCAACATACACAGAAAAATATCATTCTACTACTAAGACAAATGATTATTCAATTTACTTTATTTTGTAATCAAAGGCTACGAGTCGCAACTAGATGACGAGTTGGAAATTAATCTAATATTTAATGATTAAATTAGAAGTACATAAAGACATATAAAAACATAACTATACATTTCAACCCCTATCAGGTCATCCTGAGTGTACAATTTAATAAAACTTAACAAACTTGCGATTTAATCGTCGACATCGATATAATAATTCTATCACGTATTTCTATTCGAAATTTTTGCGAGAAATTTTTGTTAAGACAATTTTACTATTCCTCTTCGAATATTTTATGTCCCTGATATTGTCTTTCCTTTTTCATCCTTTGATTGTTTTCTTTTGAAGAAAATAAGTTCTTATTATAAAATTGATTGAAGAAACGACTTTATGTAATAAACAAATCGAATTTACTTTAAACAAGAATTTTTGATCAATGACTGAGATATTGTTAACGCAAGTTGGACATTTTTTTTGGTTTCTCAACATTTTGGATTTATTTTAATTTTATGTTATTGAAATTTTCTTTTATTACAATTATGACAAAATTACAAAACAAATTTATTACAAAACCAATATATTACACACTAAAAATATATGTTTTTACCTAATTATTTTACTCAATAGTATTTACTGAATTACATGCTATATCATAAAACAAAAATTTATTTTTAATGTGCAGGTAATAAAAATTTAAAAAATTTATATGACAATGACATTTATATTACAATGCAGTTTGTAACTGTTTACAAATATGAAATGAAATTTATGTAAAGCCATCTATAAAATATTATCTAGTATTAAAGTTTGTATTTTAGCGTTTATAGCTGACCTTCGTTTATTATATCTATACTTCTTTTCGCTTATATCTGAAGTTTACATGCTTTACGAAATAATAAAAAAAAATCAAGTATTTTGCGTTTCAGCCTATCTATGTCTATTTCCAGTTGCTGATACCGCAAGATACATACCGCAGACGAGTATATTTTTAAATAAAACCGTGATAAACCGTTTTAAATAAAACGGTGATATGGACAAACTTTAAACCTACTGAAAGTCAATGACGAATGAGCTCATGCCTATTCGTATGATAAAAAGTATGATAAAAATCCTGCACCACAATTCTTGCTGATGTTGATAGTATATACAGAAAAAATTATAGTCAACTGGTTACAAAAAAAATTGGTGTACAATACTTAATTAAAAAAGAAATTAATGCCAAAAAGTAAAAGTTGAAAATTTTCGCAAATTTTTTTCTCTTCCGTTTTCTTTTTCTATTTTGAGTTTATGACATTGAAAACAATTTTCTATATACCTGATCGATAGATTTAATTCGTTACAAAAAAGTTCTTTTGAAGTTTTTTAGTATTTTGCGTCCTTTTTTTAAATCAATATATTAAAAATAATGAAAAATAACACTTTTTATTAATATCTCTGAAACGCGTCACTTAATTTAATAGCATTTTTTAACTTATTTATATGTTATTCGAATGATCATATGAATCAAATAAAATTGCACTAAAGAATTAGTTCCTTTCAAAAACTCTTCCGACAATAGCCAATCATGCGTGCAAACGGAACATAGTCTATGCAAATATGGCCGCCTGTCACGAAATATATAGCTGTGCTAACTTTACTTCGTATTTATTAAATATGTGGAAGTCAGTTCTTTGTTAATATTATAAATGCCATTTTTTAGAAACAATCTTATGCAGGAACTAAAAATTAAAATTGATGATAAAGTTTAAGGATATTTTTTGTAAATGAAATTTAATCAAATAAAATTTATAAAATGTGAATGATAAATATGATTAATATATTTAGAACACGTATAAAGCGAAAAAGTTAGTAAATATCTTGAATAAAAAATTTTTATAAAAAACTACATAAATTGAGACAAGATCTTAGAAATTCTTAGTTTTTCGTAGATATTCTTAGTGCGACATAAAGTGGCGTCGCTTGTTTGAAAGAAAAACCAAGAAATCCTCTTTTTCTATACGCCTTTGCTTACGCCAGCCTGATGCTGCATTACGGGCTTTTATGGGACATTTTTTCGTATCTTGCATATTTCGCAGGAAACAAACAACATCACTTTATATCCCACTACGAATACAAATCCTACAAAAAACAAAGAATTTTTAAGACAAATCTCACTCCATATTCTACTATAAATATCTGCGAAAAACTAAGATTTTCTAAGATCTTATCTCAATCATGTTTTCTGTACTTTTCCGTAAAAATTTTTTCTATCAAAGATAACTCTAAAATTCATGTCATGAATATGGATTGTAGTACATTTCGTAGTTATGACACTCCAGGAAACTGAGATTTTCATACATTAAAGTTAATTTTTGAACATAAATAAACTATCGGTTCATTGGTTGCCTATGACCGTAATCACATTACAGGTTGTCGGTTACGATTGCTGGTTTTATTTTAGCCAATCATGACAAATTTCTATAATTTGTAAATTAAATTTAACATTTTCTCTTTGAAATGATTTTTAATCATTACGTTACAATTTTTTTCATTAAGAGATTTAAAGTGAATAGTACATTTTCTAGTTTTTTCTCTAAAAATTTCTCAAAATTTTGCCGCCAATATTAGCATTACCGATATTCACTTAATTTATATTTTCGTTTAATTGTCTAGGAACTCAATTTAGAACATAACAAATACCAATTATTTTTATCGTCAACTATTGGCGCTGTTTCAGATTTATTCGATCGTGGTATCAAATGTATCTGCAAACATGGATATTTGCAATAGCGCACATAACTTATGCCCGTAAGTATCTTTCATGATGATGGCTGATTTCCTTTTAGGAGACACAGTCGACACAAACGTCACTTCAGCCTTCTTGGCATTCAATGAATAATAAAGATAACGACATTGTTTGATTATCGATGGTTTCTATTTGTCGATACAAGTCAACAGTGAAGTGTCATTTTATCTTTGTTGCTCACTGAATGTTAAGAAGGATAAAATAATACTTGTGCCGACTTGTATTATCAAAAGCACCCTAGAAAGCACCCTGTCTGTTAAAAGGAAAACAGCCGATATTATGGAATTACGTGCAGCATTCACGAAGCTCGTGGTGCCATATTTCTGTTAGAATACGTCGTCGCCAAACGTGGGCTATGCAACGGCTACAAGTCTGGCGTAGACGATCTTCAGACATTCGAGTTTATCAGCAAGCTGAAATTGGATCTGTTGGACGCGCATTACAGTGGCATGACGAAGGTCCGAGGCAGTAATCGCATGCAGACGGCATACCGGCTGGAGAAAGGCACTGATGTCACCCTCCCGACGAAGTATTCAAATTAGCTCGCGTAGAAACAACGGTCTGGCCCGACTTGGTTCATAGACTTTAATTAACTCGGCGATTAATTCAATCGGCAGAATTAAAATTTTCAATTATTTAATGTGTTGTCTCTAAAAATTCTGCTAATATCGACGAAAATATGATAAACGTCGATTAAATCAAAGTTTGATCAAAATCATCCTTAAGTCCATTTCTGTCAATATAAATTAATTACTTTGATCTCGATTAAACTTACTTGTAATCCTCTTCTAGTTCTAAGAATTAGAAAAAGATAGACAGTAAATTAAACCAGACTAAACTTAATTTACATTGGAAAAATGGACATTAGTCAGTATGAGCTCTTTATGTAGAATTTACAAGAGCTTTAAAATTGTAATTTAAATATTTATCTATTTAAATGATAAATCGAATATAGCATTGCAAATTTTTTCAATTAATTAATAAATAATTAATAAATAATAAAATTTTTCAATATAACCCTCAATATATTTTCTTGTTAAAAAATATCGATTAGGGAAATGCTAATTCTCCTTTTACGTCCTTTACATCCTTTTCTAGAGACATCATACCCAGTGGACTTCCAGAAGAGTTCTCGTTAGTGTACACGCTGAGAGCTAGGAAATCACCGAAGTATCCTTGGCATGTCATTAAGATTGCGAACATGAACGGTGACGCTCAGTTTCTCATCACAATGAATTCTAGGAAGCGAACACTGGATTTTTCATCGATCGACCACGAGGGAGAATTACAGACGATCTCTTTTGTAAATGATCGCGTGAGTGCCATCATTTGCCACATCTGTCATCGTTCTAGAATAGTTTGTTTCGCTCGTGACAGTCCTCCATTCCTTAAATAAACGCTTGTCACTAAACGGGACACTTGAACGACGAAGACAAAGTCATCGTGGAGAATTGTCTGAATTAATAAATCGTTTTTTTTTGTTTGAAAAAAGCAATATTTATGTCTCTCTCTTTATTGAAATATTGTATCGCCCCACGTAGAAGATTCCAAAGTCAAACACGTCCCGATTTGCGATAACATGTGGAATGTGTAATAACACAAAGTGGAAACAAGTCGTAAATTCTGTCAAGTGGATCGTTTCTTAAAAGTATTGCCGAGAAGAGAGAGAGAGAGAGAGAGAGAGAGAGAGAGAGAGAGAGAGAGAGAGAGAGCCACTAACAAAAGAGACTCGTCATTAAAACTGATTAATAATTATCTATGCATGAGTGTTTTACCCCACGAAATCATTACGTAAGCTATTGCGTGAGATGCGTGCCAAGCCGCAAAAGTAGGCGCGTGAATTGTATCGTCATGCTATTATACAGAGTAGATATAACGGATGTAAGTCACGTCGAGTCGCTTCATGCGCAAATGTCACTTCAAAGAGTCTCGGACGTTAGAAATTCTATCGCTGACGTGATAGAAAACGAGTGTCATGCTCATGCGATCGATAATACGGCGATAAGAGAATGACACGACGCGCTCGGAACCTTTGATCGATGAAGATTGCAAGCGTGTTTTGAAACAACATGGATTTATGCAATAAATACGAAACTCCGAGATCTCTCAGAGATCTCTCAGAGATCTCTCTAATAAGCCTTACTTAGAACTCATTTGTCTCTTTCTATACATCATTATCCTGTCTAGGATAAATTAACACTTGATTAATCGCAGCTTACGTCATTGATGGATAACAACTTGAAGAAAAATATATGATTTTTTTATAAAACAGGTGTTCGACAAGGGTTGGCACAAGGTAAACTTCGGGGTGTTCAAGGATAAACTAGTCCTTAACATCGATTGCGAATTCGTTGGCGTGGAAGATTTAAAACCACGCGGTTCGATTAAAATCGACGGGGATCTGTCGATAGCTAAAATGAACAATAGTAAGATTACTGTGCCGGTAAGACTCCGTTATATCAGATTTGTATGCGAAGCTTAATTTTTCACGTCATATCAGATTTGCATTTGCACTACTTAATTTATTATTCAGTTTTATTTTTTTAATTCTTCAATTAATAATTAATTTTCGAACTAATTTCGAATTATCTTTAAAAATAGACTTATAAGCATGTACATCTAACATTCACGAATTGCATTGCTATTAGTGTCACTGCGAGGAATGCGCTTTTCTAGAAATAAAGTTACGTGTGACCATTACAATTAAATAACCCGCTACTTAATTAACAGCTTCGTACAGAACGAGTCTGAAACATTGTATCGCCAAGTAGGACAAACTGAATTTAATATTAGAGTCTTGGCTTATATCCAGAATGCATATGAAACGTTAAAATTCCAACAAGAGTTGAAATATTATTATACATATATGAAAAAAATATAAGAAGGTATACATTTCATAAAACATTATGTACGATGTCCCAAGATTATAAATGTCTGTTATTGTATTATTTATATTATCTTCAGATTGACTTGCAATGGATGGTTTTAACTTGCGATCCAACGAGAGACGAGAGAGAAACGTGTAAAGAGCTACCTACGGTAAGATCTACATATCAGTAAGATTTAACAGTTTTGCAAGATTTGACTAGTGTAATATATACATGACCATAGAAAACCGTAGAACCTGCTCCGCTTCAAATAAAACCCACTTGCAATACGATCTGTCCGCAAGGACCACCTGGATTTAATGGTTCCAATGTAAGTTCTTTCTTTGTTTTACATTTATTAAATATTTATATCATAGGTTTCCAGCTAGTTTTCAAATCAATAAAATTTTGATTATTTATGAAATTAATCATAATCTAAAACTATATACTAAGATGAATTGTACATCTTTTTTAATTAATAAATTTCTTCAGACTCAGACGAAATAAATCGATGTTGAATCATACTAATATGAGAGCCGACACATCATTTTTAAATGTTTTATTAAATATTGCGACAATTAAAATTGAATGAATGAATTTTTTGTTTTCTTAATAAGAGTTGATAAAGAAAATTATATCAGGGATTTCCCGGTCCACCTGGACCACCCGGAGCACCGGGGCCAATTGGTATATCAGGTTCAACTGGATTTCCAGGGCAATCGGGGCCGCCGGGTGAACAAGGAAGGATAGTATGTTTTCCTTATAGTATTAGTTTATACATAACTAAAATCATTCATCATTAAATTACTACTAAAATCATTATATAACTATAAAAATCATTCATCATAAAAATATTCTTAATCCAGAGGTGAATCCACGATGGGGGCCATGGAAATCATGACTTCTTTCTTAAAAATGTTTATAGCAAAATGTTATATATACATACTTTTAATATTTCTGAAATGCTTAATCACAATTTTGATATTCCAAAAATATTTTTTAATTTAGGAAACTCTTAGATTTTTACGGCTTAAGGCTTACTACTCTATTGATCGCGTTATGCAAAAGTTTATACGGCTTTTATTTTTCGCCCGTCGCGTCGTAAAAGAAAAAAATTTTCACACGCGTAAATTAAAAAATAAGAACGAAGAAGTATAGAAACTGTTGAAATTTTCCTTTTTCTTGTGTTTTTGGTTGGCACATGGAGAAACTTGATAATCCAAAATACGAATCCGCCAATGGCTTCCACATTGAGAGAAAAAAGTGATTAGAATAATCATAATTTAATTATAATTTATAGTCATTTTTTGGGACAATCATAAATTTATAATTGTTTTAACTATATAAATAGTAATCTGAAAATTGAATTATGATCATAACGATCATAATATTATATGTATTCATTTAACTAATTGTATGGTTATCTTACATATAAATCATATTTACATATAGTAAACTATAAAATGTTGTAACTATATATTTATAAAGTTATTGTTACTATATATATATATATATATATATAAAACATAGCAATAATAACTATGAAAATGATGCTCCTGACCATAATTATTTTACCATGCAATTATAATGACAATTACGATATACTTTTCTCTCATTGTCAATGCACGTTAAGAAATTCCTGGATATGCCTCTATCGTAACTAAAATCATTTTTTACCTTTACAAAAACGTAGGCACTAAGAATGCAAGGAAAGGAATATAAGAAATGTATCTTATCAGGGAGCTCCAGGTAACATTGGCGTTAGAGGTTTTCCAGGATTGCAAGGTTCTAAAGGATCGATAGGACCCGCAGGACCACCGGGCTTACTAGGATCACCAGGCCGAAAGGGTGAAAGAGTAAGTACTAATGCTTTTAAATTGAATATGATAACGCGTGAAAATTTATTTATAAAAAAAAAATAAATCCTCTAATAGGGCGATATGGGATTTCCGGGTCTGAAAGGAGATCAGGGTCCTCGAGGGTTTCCGGGTTCGTCAGGGAATCCGGGTGATTTTTCACATGAATCGTCAGAATACAAGGGCGAAAAAGGAGCCAAAGGTGAACGAGGAGACAATGGTATTCAAGGACAGCCGGGTGAAAAAGGTACAATACGTTATTTCTTAGAAAGAAAACATCAGATAAACCACTTAATTAAGATAGATTAAATTCACTCAGGGAACACTGACGATATAATTCGATCTCAGCAGAAATCGCGTCGAGATATATAATTGGGTTATTCTATGTCGGCGATAGAGAGTGAGAGAATACTACAGAATGGGTGCTCGATTAATGTACTTGTTGTCACTGCAACATCTAAATCAATTTACCGTCTAAATCTCGATCATGCCAGAATGAATATAATATCCTTACGTAATGTTTCCTGATTTTAACCATGAATAATTTTTTAATAGAAATGTGAATAATACATATGTTAATTTGAAAGTTGTTCGATCTATTTATCATAGATTTATCATAACAAGATGAGACAGTGATTTGTCTCAATATTAATTTGTTAGTTCAAATGTTCGACTCTGCTGTATCTCGTGTTTATAGTCTTTTTATTAACACTGCACATTATAAAAAAATCACAATTCAAATAACGACTATTAAACGATTCAGATGACGCGCATGACATATCGTTGACCCAGATTCATTCGCAGTCATTGTAAATCAATTTATCGCAATCTGTGCTAATATTCGCTTATTTATAAATAATTCAAAATTATTCGCTTATAAGTACCCTAAAAGTCAAAATTAAGTGCGCAAGAGAAAAGGAACTTTATTAAAAATATTTATTATTAAATATTTAGATAAATAACTCAGAAGAAGAATAAAATTATTAACAAAGGAACACAATTACCAAGGAAAGGAACGAATGTGTTCAGACTGGCTCTTGTTCTACAAGGCGCTCTTGTGCAAAAGTCATTTTGACATCCCCTACTAGATGATCTTTTTTTCAAAGAACATTCTTATGAACATGAGAAAACAATTCAGTTAACACAAAAAAAAAATGTATCCAATTATATTTATATTAATATTTATATTAATAAAGTGTCCCACCTCGAATATATTAAAATATAGGGATCCTAAAGACGATTAGTCATATTGTAAATAGCACTTACATATAGACGATTTACGTGTCATTGACAAATCATTATATATTACATCAATATTTTACGCGACATACACGTAAATTTTCGTATAACAATTAAGTTTTAATTAGACATCTAAGTCCAATTTTAAGAACTCTACGTTATTTCTTTGTTCAAACTACTAATCTGTGGACTATTTATTTCGTAAATACACAACTAGCATAACTTTTATATAAAACAAACGTTGTCACTGGTTAGCACGATGTGACTGGTTATCATGACAGCTGTGGAGCGCCATATTGGATTAAGAAATGATAAAGAAGATATCAATTTCGAAATTTTTTTTGTCGTTCTCAGCTTATACAAACTCCATCTCACAGACACATATTAATGCATATATTATAATCTTGGAAAAAAATTTTCGAATCAATATAAAAGAGAAAAAAAGTAATTGTTATACAAAAATTATATGGTTTAGTCGATAATACAAATGACTTTAGGATCAACAAAAAATTTGAAAGTTTTAATTAAAAAAGTTAAACTTTTTGTACCTATAAAAATTTTAAACTGTTTTAAAATAAAAAGTGAAGGTAGAAGTAATTGAAAAATATGATATTTTTTTAAATTAAAATGCATTGTACATTATAAAATGTACCTAAAATTTTTTAAATACATATTTAAAACATTTTTTTATTTTTGACACTTTCGTGCTACTTAGAAAAATATCATATAAAAATGTATCATTAAACCATTATAAAATTTAACATTAAAAATTTAATTTTTAGGCGAATCTGGAGACAGAGGATATCCGGGATTAGATGGATCCCGCGGTCGTGACGGAGCATCAGGTCTTCCTGGTTTTCCGGGACCTCCTGGTCTTCCGGGACCCCCTGGACCGAAAGGCAACACTATATATACGAATACGTCTAATATTCCAGGAGCACAAGGTCCTCGTGGTATAATAGGACCACCAGGACCATCAGGCTCACCAGGACCATCAGGCCCACCAGGACTGCCAGGATTGCCTGGATCTCCGGGCCAAATAGGTCCAAAGGGCGATATCGGGGAACGTGGTCGAGATGGTTCGCAATTTGTTAACTAAGAATTAAACAAATACACTAATGATAATTCTTTTTACGTTTATAACCTGAAATATTTATTATCGTTTATTGACTGAAATATTTATTAGCGTTTATAATGAACCTGAAATATTTATTACCCCTAAGGCACACCGGGATTAACGGATAATAACGTCATATCAGGATTACCTGGTCCCGAGGGACCTATTGGGCTTCCTGGTGATGATGGTCTCCCAGGTGAAAAAGGAGAAATTGGACCAATGGGTCCTTCAGGACCATCTGGAAATCCGGGAAAGGATGGATATCCAGGATTACCAGGACCACAAGTATTTTATTACTCAGATTTATATATATTTATATTATTATTAGTTAAAATAATGTACTTTTCGTAATATTCATTGTTGCACTAAGGGACTTCCAGGGCCACACGGAGAACCGGGGTCTTCAGGACCTCGAGGTTTAGATGGGCTCGCAGGAAAACCAGGGCCACCAGGATCCGATGGGAAATCAGGTCAAAAGGGTAACAAAGGACAAAAAGGTGAACAAGGTCTTGCCGGACCTCGTGGATTACCAGGGAATTCGGTAAGACGATGAATGAAATGGATATTACAACATTAAACAATTTATCAATTTTATGTTTCGAATAATGAACATATAATTAACCCATGTAATTTCAGAACAATAAATATCATATCGATTAATTTATACATTTAGGGCTCAATGGGCTCACCAGGCGCACCAGGTGTACCAGGCTTAGAAGGAAGACCCGGTCAATCCGGTCCTTCGGGACCAATAGGACCATCAGGACCTCCAGGCCCTCCTGGTCTTCCAATTGCGAACAGCAATTTTGGTAACATTGGTAGGCCCGGTCTCGAGGGACCTAGAGGTCCACCAGGTCCTCCAGGCATAGTAAGCATCTTGTTTGATAAAAAATAAAACCAAAATTTGATTAAATTATATATAAATTATATAAATTAAATTATATAAATTAAAATTATAAATGAATAAATCTTAAAGTAAACGATCCAAATAAACAATTAAGCCAGGTGAAAGGGGAACTCCTGGAGAACGAGGATTAGAAGGTCAGATAGGACCACCTGGAG